AGTAAACAAGTGATTCTCTGACTTTTCACATGATGAATCTGAAAATGATAGACAAAATCCTTCCAGGAAGAAAGTTTCTAACTTAAACTGTTCGGAGGAATGAATCTGATTTTTCCCCTGAAGGTGTCATTAATTCATACATTTTCTCCTTGGAGGGAATAATGCCTGCTCTAAAGATATAAAAGGGTTAATTTACTTTCAATGTGTGTTAACTCTTTCCTGGAAATAGGAAAAATACCTTTTATGATATGGAATTTGGCTTAAAGCATTCAGTGTCAGGTCTAGTGCCATATTCTCAGAGGCCTTATAAATATTACTGCTCAACAGTAGGTAAAAGAACTGAGAATATCTACCTTGCGAAAGAGACAACAAATACTCTCTCTCCTTCTCTCTCCACCTTATCTGTCTCTGTTTTCTAGCTCTTTCTCTGGTTCTCACTCTGTCTTGTTCCATTTATTCACCTCTATCTCTTTTTGCAGTTGTAGAATAATTAAAGGGCTGCACTGTAGAATAATAGACATTAAATTTATTCCATGTGGTCCCCAAAGCACAATTTAGACCTACGGCTACAGGGAAATCTGTTTCTACTCAAACAGCAATAGATCTCTCTGGAAATGAAATGAATGGTAAGTGAATTCTGTATCCCTCATGGTGTCAAACAGATAGATACTTGTTGAGACCACTGTGGATGATATTCATGAACTAGGTAGAACTGGTGAGAAGAAATACCTCTTGGCTGCTTAGGCGAATCAGCAATTTGGTACTAGGCAGCCATTGTGCAAAACTGGGATGTGTGGGTCTCAGTGGGCAAGGGCCACTGTGCTGGCTGCTTGTTGCCAGGACCATAATCTTAGAACAGCTAGGTAGACACCACTCAGATACAAAGTATGACTTTTATAAATAAGGTTATAACAAATTGTTGCAAGTTTGTGTTTTTTGTAGGCAGCTTTGCTTTTTAGAAATAGTCAGAAGTTTGGTTCATCTGCGATCAACATACTAGACAATTACTGTTTGTGGGTTAAAAAAAAAAATCTTACTATATAGGCACAACTACAGAGGAACCAAGTTTATTTTCTTGGCATGCCAATGTGAAATGTGAGAGATTCCCCCCAAGGGATGCTTTGAAAATGCGTGCAGCCCCAAAATCATTAAAGGGAGCTACACTGAAGGAGGGTCTCAACGAGGGTCTAAATCTGAAAGTGATCCTTCAAAGACCAGTCTCATCACACTTTACAACTATGGGGTCTGTCATGTCTGGGCAGCCGGTTGGTATGTTTATTTTTATTTCTTATGATGACGCCTTTCTGAGGCTGCTAGAAGCTTTGACCCAGGCTTCCTTCCATCATTCTGTGGGGACCTTACAGAGACTTGGCATAGGCCGCCAAGCCTGGCACCTGGGAGCTCTGGATAGATAACTTTATCTAACCTGCCTTGGCTGCTTCTTTCCCCATTAGCCTGCTGGTACAGCAACACCACACCTTCAGAGGGCTCTCCCTATTGGGCACACATTCATGGCTGCACTGCTGCTGGAGCTGGCCACTTCCGAACACATGGGTGGCCGCCTGATTTTGGAGATTCGGGGCACTGAGGATGCCATCTGCAGTCCTTTTCAGCGGGATCACAGCCTGTCTGACCTTCAAGAGGGACCTGGATTAAGTGACAGATTCTTCTGAGAGAGACCCCCCTGAATATCCTGATCTGATTTATATAATGAATGAGGCTAGAGCCTTCCCTGGACACCAGGCTTCAGTCAGTGGAAAGGGAGATCATTATAGTAGATGACAGGGCTGCTGAAGGGACTGGAGAAAGAAGAGGCTGGGTAGCTAAAGACACGCATTGGGGCTGACAGCCTTGTTTAAAGTTGGTCTTGGAAGTCTGTAGCGACAATGGCAGAAATCAACAGCCTTATCATGGAGCACCCAGGAAAAGCTATTTTACTGGTTAAAAGCCTTGGGGTTGGACAAGGACATAGGGTGGCGCACTGATTGTCTTCAATTTGCACAGTTGTGGCACAGAGGGAGATGGTTGTTTGCATTCCCAACTGTTCTCCCTGTTCCACAGTGTCAGCCCTGTGTTTGGGGCTCACCTCTCCTCTCTTCTCAGTTGGGGGCTTTGGGTGTGAGTGAAGCATGTGACTCAGGCCCCAGACAGTCGATCAGTTATGACTCCCTGGTCACAGTGATTGATTCGGGGTTGGCAGCAACACCAATATTCAATGATACCTTTTTGCTGGGAGTGCTGGGACTCTGAAAGAGGTCTTTCTTGTGAGACTTAAATCTGAGAGGATATAAACCTAGAATTCTTGCAGTTATGTCAAAACTACCAAGAGCCTATGCCTTAAGCTGCTACAGTGCAGCTAGAGAGGGGAATTGGAAAGAACCAGGTCCCAATGACATTGCTTGTGTTCTGAGGTTAGTTGTGCCTGAAATCTGATCGCCCCATGGACTGTTCAATTCTCTTTTCTTAAATAATTTTAGGTCGAGCCATCTGTTGTTTGCCACCACTGAGGTGCTGACTGTGTCAGTTCTGCTAGCTGGTGGGACAGGACCAATGCATTGATACAATTTTCAGGATGGTGTGTGGCAATTTCCTATAAGGACATGCTTTCAACAGAGCTGAATTAGAAGGCTACACGCTCCCCTGAGGGTGAACACCTTTTCAGTGACAGCATTTGCAACCTGCATAGGATAATCACTTGGAGGGGATAGTATAGAATAAAAGCCAAGCATCAAATGGGTGGAACTGGGCAGCTCTTTAGATCTGTGTGTTTCAAAGTCACTTATTAAATGACTATAGCAATGAGGTCACGTGCCCTTTCAAACTCCTCCCTCTAGATATCACTAATGAAACTAAGAAGTAATAAACATAATGTAGCACGAGGATTCTAATTTTGCAGCCCTAATAACAGACCCTGGTGGGCAGGTCTGTGGCACTGAGGTTCCCTCCACCAACCCAACTGCTCTGCCAACGGGGTCAATCCACTGTGACCCTCAAGCCCCTTCCATCTTCTACCCCCTTGCACATACACTCTTGCCCTCACCAAGAATTTTCTTTCTGTGTTCCCTCTTTGCCTTACACAAGCCAACTCCCCTCAGCGAGGCCCTGTCCTCAGGACACCTCCAACCAGAAAGGTAGCTCAGACTTCTGACCTCTGAGCGGCTCAGGTTGCAGAAGCGCTGCTCTGGGACCATGAACACTGCTTTGCGTAGTTCTCTGATGTTTCTTCCGGGCTCACTGGCTCCTCATCTTCTTGAGGGCTGGTTATGAATCCTAGCGCATAGCATGCAGCTTGGCACCCAGTTTGTAGGGAAGTGATGTCCCAGTATCAGAGGCTCTTTCAGTATTTCCTGCTGGAATATCTCAGATCCAGGTCATCAGAGTTCTCTGGGTTGGGCTCTCCTGTACTACTTTGCCAATCCACGGGGTGCAGGTGCTGAGCCCAAGACACGGTGGAGACAGAAGCATACAGCCCACCGCCAGGTCCTTCCTACCTACACCTGACTCACTATGTGCCTGATGAGATAGATACTCATTCCTGTATATTCATTCATTCACTATATACTAACCCACAGGGTGCCAGGCATCATATACACAGTGATGAGCGAAACGTGCAGCTCCTGCCTGTGGTGCTTCCAGGTTGGAGACCCCTCCAGCCCGTACAGAGCCTAGATAGTTCCTCCCGGTCTGCTTCTGTCTGTCTGGACTCAGAGATCTCTTGGCTCAGGTATTTGGGTCTATCCAGGTAGGGCCTGTGTGCATTTTGTTGAGGCCAAAGCTTCCTCAGGTCTGTTTTCTGCCTCCCCCTTGTTTATTCAACACTGAGATTCAGCTTCACAGTCCCAGGAACCTCACTCTGTTTTCTCTGCTAATGAAATTTTGGATGGGTCTCTCCTAAAGCCCAGGAGAGGCCTGGGCTCCTCAGGAACAACTGGTTACAAAATACTGTGAATTTTGTATTTTGGAAGTCTGGGGTTTAAATTAGTGAAATTGAGAAGTTCAAAATCTCAGAGAAGTATATACATAATCCTAACAGGTTGGGGGAAAACAAATCCAAGCCCCCGCTTGAGGTCTGGGTTGAGGTCCTGACCCCCAGACCACTGATAGGGTTGGGCTTTTGCCCATGAACTCCTTGGATGAAGCCCCTGGTTCTACCTGCTCCCAGCTGACAGCTGCTGGCTGAGTGCTATGTCAGCGATGGGCGACCCTGACCCAGCTGCTGGCAGAGACTGAACCAGGAGCTTTTTTCGTATTCCACAGCGCAGCAGGCCAAATCTGCTGGAGAGCGGGGAGTAGTAGGGGAGAGGGAGGACTCCGTCCCCCGGAGCCACCTGGCGCTGGTGGCATGGCGGGGAATCGCTTCGTCTTTGCCTTCAGCCTGTGCCAGAGCTGTGGAGCCTGGCTGGCATCTCCTGAGAGCAAAGCGAACGAAGCCCGCAAGTGATGTCGGGTGGCGGTGGGGGAACTTCCTAGAAAAAAAGACTTTCAGGTTGGAGAGGTGCGGCAAGGCGCGCTCCTGGCAGAGACCGGGTGCCGGCTGCCCTGCGC